TGGGTTAGTTGGGCCTTGTTTCTTTATAAGACAAGAGAGGGGGAAAAATTTGGAATGAGAAATTAGAGTGTAATGACAACATGAGAAGATTACAGTAGAAGCCAAATATTTCTGCATGTTGGCTCAAAAAACAAGAAAAAACCCTCAGCTTTTAAACAAACAGTAGCCATCAAAAAAATGCAAATATTTCAAACTACAGTATTAGCTATAGACTATTTACTTCTGTTGTAATTTGGGACATAATACACCCATAATTTGTCCAAAAAGGTGAAAAAAAACAAACCACCCATAACGCAAACAGTAGCATTGTGGGCTTTTTATATTATTAAAATAATATATTATAAAGACAAGTTTTAACAAATAAACATTTTAATTTACAGGCACACATGCAGACTGATGTTCATGTTTATGGTATTGCAGAATCCACAGTAAAAGCTCCCTTACTTTTAAAATTTTTAGTCTGAACATTCCTTCTTTTAACAAAAGTGGAGTTTTCTTCCCTTCTGACTTCCTGTGAGTCCATGAACTGTTACGCTTTTAGACATATAGGAACACTAGGCCCCATACAGAACTCCATCAAAAGTACAGCAAGTGTGTAAAAGCAACACCATAAAAGGTTAATTAAAAAAAACACAAACAAACAACCAGCAAACCAATAACAAAACCTGATCACAAGTGCTCCTTTACAGAGCTTTATTAGCTAAAGAATTCCTTCTTTCTTTTTTTTGTTAAAAGCAGATAATGTTAAAAAAAGAGAATGTTAACATAAGCCTAAGACATATTTGTGTACTACTTGTATTAGCTACTTTTTGGTGGGAAGTTTTTTGTTTTGTTCTGTTATAACAGTGTTATAGAAAACTACATTAAAATTCTTAACTCAACACCTATGGTAACAAAATTTTTCTAAGTACTGTTTATAACTATGCAGGTTCACAAACGAAAGTATTTTTACTGTTACAATAATATTAACTGCTATAGACTGAAATCGTCTTATGAGGCCCTAACAATACTATCTACAGACTTAGCATGTTTTGTGCACAAGTTTCACCCATTTGACTTTCTCTTGTTCTCTTCCCCACTGTGGTTTACACATCTCTCATGTTCCACAACAAGGCTGCAGTTTTCCCTTTAGTATCTAGCCTCAACATCAGCCATGCACGAACATCCTGCTGACAAACTATTTCTGATCTCATTTCTGGAGAGTCAGAAAGCAGCTGTGGCACTGCAAAGCAGCCATACAGCATGCACTGCTCAATTCCAGCCTCATGTGAGGGGGCCTTCCCTATCCACACCCCACGGCCTTAAGACTGGTGCACATGACCCAGTACATAACAGGCTGAGCAACTAAAAGGCTGTTCTAAAAGCAGCTTAAAAAGCAATCATGCACTTACTGTGTTATAAAGTTCTTCCAGCCTGGGAATTGTAAGAAATTTGTGCATGCTTACTCCATTTTCAATCAGAAGTTTCACAAATGCAACTCTGTCCATCACAAGGGCATCTAACATAGCCTGTTCCAGAGAGCCAACCTACAACAAATAAATAACAAGGTAGAGCCTGGGGAGAACCAGTAAAATAGGGCATCGCAAAAGTAACTGTACTTAGATTACACATCAACTTCATTCATTTACAGGGCTGGGGAAACCTCACATGTCTACAAATACAAAGATATCACCCTTGCTTCAGATAATGTCCTGAACTTCACACAATTATAGGATGAGAGAACATTCTGAAAACAGTCAGCAAGTCTTATACTCTTCCATCTCCTACTGACACATTACATGAAACTAAGTAGAAATTTGGTTTAACATAGTTAAGCTGTTGTCATAGATTGATATTGGATGAAAAACAAAGACACAAAACATTTAAAGCACAATTTGCTTCAAAGACAAATGCTCAGAATCATCATTGCTATCAACAAGCCTTACAGTATATACTTTTGACTGCACACTTCTGTAAGATTGTATTTTTACAGTAATATGGGAAAAAAAAAATCAAGATCCACAAGGTAGTTTTCAAACTAATTTGCTACAAGAAACAGACATTTTGTCCTCACCCTCAAAAGACACTGCAGTGCTGCCAACAGTAGTTAATATCTGTGTTTTACTAGATGCTTCTTAAGAACATCCTATAACCATGCAACTGTAAGGAAGAAAGCATCTGGATAACACGAATTCGGCTTCCACGTTCTGCAATGTCTTTTCTCCTCTAGTTATTAAAAGCACTTAGCACATTTCTAAAATTTTTGGACCCTTTTCAACTACACAATAACAAAACAGCTGTAACACAATGCAGTATGCAAAAGTTACTGCCCTCAAGATAAATGTGTCAGTATTCTATGGTCTCTCTCTACAAAAGTCAAAAGATTCATTCTTTACAGTAAGTGGAGTTTCCCCCTCTTAGAAAATATCATTCTGCTTAATCCAGATCATTACATACCAGCCATTGTTGCCCATAAACAAAAACATGATTTTTGGCTATGTCAACTCTATCCCATGCAAGTGTAAGAACAAGCTGGTCAAATGCAGATGCGTTTGTGCCTTAAAAAGCAAAAACAATGAGAAAAATTTAAAATTCACAAAAATACAAGACAATAAACATTCTTTGTTCCTAAAAAGGCCAAATCAAGCAATTCCCAGCAAAGTTACACAGTATATTTCATCATTTATGACGTGCTATGGTATTATACAATGAGAAAACATAGTCGATAATTATTTGCTTAAAAAACTAAAGATTCCTACAGATTACAGTATTTTATAAACAATCTATCACATAAACACTAAACAATAGCTGGGGATTCCAAGTGCTCCTAAAATTAAAATTCTCACCTTTTAACAAAGCTGTAAGTATCGCAACATCAACGTCCTGGTGTTCGTCTGACCCAATATGAAAGACTGTAATCTGTCCAAAATGGTAAAATAGGGAAAACATGTTTTTTAAGTCATTTTCAGGCAAAGGTGATTAACTCCACTCTTTTACGTCAGGAATTGAAATACATTAAAAAGTCACCTTATCTTTGATGCAATTTAAGCCTATACTAAATTTAAACTTAACCTTTAGGGTGCACTCTCAATTGTTTTCCTAACTAGGTGCCACACAACAATCTTTTACAAGAAAAAGCATAGCAGAAATCCTTTACACTTCTCAATCAATCTGAACTTCTCCCACTATGATTACAATTCTCTATTGTCTATAAACACCACATAGCATTCTGTTTGTCTCTCCAGTTCATTCTAGATTATGAGATTAACCTGCCAGCAAACACGTTTAGCCGAATATGGTAGTTTTAAACCACAGAACAGCAGAATATGATGTCCAAATGAGACACCAGTACCTGAACTCAGGCTATGTACAAAGCTCTATAAAGTGCTTTTGCTTTAAGCCTGCAGTGACAGTAGACCTGTGTTAGTACAGTCATAATTAAAAGACAAAAAAAAAGTTCCAAGGTTTAAAAACAAACAAACAAAATATCAAAGCAAGAATACAGGACAGCAACACAAATAAAAAAATACATACACACTATAAATAAACCAGAATCCTGTCACCTGAAAACAAATAGACCTAGAAACAACTACAAACTCATTTTACCAGAAATAAAACCAAGAATTAAGTCTCTCTTGGCCATGAGATAAAGTACACACAAAAACTGTATTCAACTATCTTCTATAACTGGAAGATCCACTATGTCCAGAAAAGATTTTTGAATGACTCTTGATCATATACAACATTGAGATACAATTTAATATTATACTCACAAATGCATGCATCTTGCATAAAAAAATTTTATGGCAAGATCTACTTACAAGTTCTTTTTTTTTCATGCATTCCAGTAGCGTCTGAAACAAATGAACCGCTTCACTTTGACCAAAGTTAAATGTCTTTTTGATGGTTGAAATGATTTCAGGCTCAGCACCCTCAGGAACATTCCTGGGATTGAATCAAACAAACAGGGAAACACATTGTTATACATGACAGTGAGAACACCACCACATTTAATTAGTTTCAACATGTCCATTCAAAGTCCTGCTATCTACAAGCTTATTACTGTTTCAGTGGAAAAATCTTGAGTAACCTTTAGAAAAAAGCACAGGTTGCTTAATCTATGACTTTCTGCTACTGCCTCCTAAAAGTAACAGAGCTTCTCTCCCTTTCCTTCCCATAGTTCTGAGATGCCCTCAACTAGAAGATTTTGACACAAAAATACTAAGTATTCACCCCTGCAAATAAGAGCTGCTTCTGACCTTACTATGGACAGAGCTGTTTGGTTTACTGCTACATTAGGCCCCCGCCTCCAGGTTCGGAGGCAGCCCCTGCAACAAGGATCCAATATAGTTCAGGATTTATGCAAGTCTGACAACTAATTAGAAATCACTAAGTATTGTGGAGTCCAAGCACTTCCCTTCTATTATTTGAAACCACACTTAAAACAGACAAGTCTTTTCTATGATGAACAGAAATGTGTAAACAGTTTAGCTTTAAGATGAACCAAGAAGAAACAATATAGAAAATCTCTCTGGTCTCTTTTCAGAAATGTTACTACTATGCAATAGCTATCTGCATGAAAATATTGCCATTCAATGTAGCCAAGTGATATTTTCAAGCAGTTTGGTAACATCCTGGTCTCTATGTTATTCTCACATGTCTGGAAGGTCTGGTCAGCTCTGTCTTCTGGTCAGCTCTGACTTCTGTTCAGAAAAACTCTGTTGTGCACACTTACGAACAGTCACATTTATCACTTAAGTCTCTCTGGCTGAGTTAAAATCTGAAGTTGAAGCAGACAAAGCATTTAAACTGAGAGCTGGGTCCTCTAGTTATAATGGTGTAACAAAATTACTGCATGTAACTGACGTTATACACAAGGTGTTTCCCCTAATTTAGGATATAGGTGTGTACGCTTTTCCTACCCTTTCTGTAAGTATTGCTAAAGCAAGCATACATTACAGAGCTTGGTGCAACTGGTACAAGGTATGTGGGAGGAACCTACAAGTAGGAAAGGAGTCTTGGTCTTTAGCCAGAGCTATTGCAGCCAACCCAGAAAGCTGCATCACAGGCAAGACTACACTCTCTGCTTGTAGCCTACATCTTTCCACAGAAAAAGCTCCTGTAAAAATTCATTAAGGAACAGTCTCAAAACCCATCTATGTATGACTGATAGTTCGGCTAGCAGTGCTAGGACTTACCCTCCCTCCTCCGTTTGTTTGTGAACATACGCCAATATGTCTGCGGCTCTACCAGTTCCTTCACATACTACCACTGGCACAGGAGGACTTTCTTGAAGGAAGTCTAAAACTGTGAGTATGACGTTGGGGCCACCTTCAAATACAAGTGCCACCACAGGCACACCTTGGCCAATTCCTATAAAGTTGCAAATAAATAATAAAAAATAGACAATGTTGTAAGTCTACAGGGAATGCTAAGATTAATTCTACATATTTAATAAATCAAGTGTGTCCCTTCTATTGAATAAAAATTAAAATGCTGCCTGCCAGACCTTTTAACTGTTGCTAATGCACAGTTTCTGGCAATTTAAACTTTGGGCTGTGGGGAAAGCACTGTAAGGAAGCTGATAAATACAATGAAATACAGTCTACAAAGCAGAAGAGATTCTTCACAGAAGTATTCCTGAGCTAATACAGAAAAGTGAACGTTTTTTCTTTAGGGAACTCCCCTTCTACATTCCTTCCTCCCCAGTAGTTTCCAAAGATGACAATAAGTGTACAATTGGAACATTAGCTACATGGAAACCCTCTACTGACAGGGAGGGTTGCAACAGCATTCCTAGAAGAGAAAAAAAACATACATGTGTTGCTCCATAATTGGAAAAACACCAAAAAAAGTCATGGCTTCTTTGCACAAACACAGACGATGTTTTACAAACTCAACTGCCTTATTGTGAAATTGCAAGTGATCAGTGTCAAAAACACGAATCAATCAGACCCGCAAGGCCTGACAACATGCTATTAACTCAAGTGACGTAATTTGCTTTATCAAGGCAAAATTGGCAACTTTATTCAAAAGAACCCTCCTCTCTGGTCCCAGAAAAATCCTAAATCCAACAGCAATATCTAGGGTCCAAAGCAGCAGTTGAAATTTGCAAAATAATCATTCGGATTTGAAACATAAACAAAAGACTAAGTTTTCCATTTTCTCATCGGATTTTGGTGCAAGCACCTTTCTCATTAAAGCATAGTAACACTCAGCCCTCAGGCAGTAGAATTACTTACTTGCATGGATCCGTTGCAAATTAATAGTTTTTTCCAGTTCTCTCCGCAATTTAACTTCTGCTCCATACTTTCCAACTGTTCCATCATCCACCAGAATGAAATGCGAATGGAGGTTATTTAGGACGTTTAGTTTACTTAATGGATTTAACAAGGTCTGATATGGAGCAACCACCTGAGTGTAAGTACACAACAATGTCTTTTACTTACAAAGATTCAAATTTGTTTCTGTGAAACTTAACTTTTTGTCTAGACACGAGAATTGATGGCTCAACAAGAAGCACTGACATATAAGCATGCCTTGGGTCAGGAAACACCAACAGCAGTAGTTCTTAGCTTTGTGCAGGAAAGCAGATAACTATATCACAAAAGAATTTTGTTCTGCAGGATAACACAGAAAAGGTCCTTTGAAAAAGTGTCTTTGGGGAAAACTTGTGACTGCTCTGGCAAACAGTAGCATTGAAGACTGCATCAAAGTTTTTCAATTTATCCTCTGTAATACTTTAGAATTTTTGTTATTTGATTCAGTAATATCAGTACGGGGAAAAAAGCATTAAGAACTTGAGAACAAGCTCCTCCTCTAGTACATTTGCATTTTGCAACTTGTTTACACTAATGATCTTGCATAAGTCACAGATGTCAATGTATCTTGATAGTAAAGGAAGTATTCCAATGATGCAAAGTAAATGAAAAAACACGCTTAAGCAGATTTGTCAAAAAATAAGTCAGGTAAATCATTATTTTAATTAGGCAATTTATCCTTACATCTCTTCCAACAAGGTCATTTCTGTTTTCAATCACTCCCCATGGAGCAATCCCAATAGTGCAAATCTTTCGAGATGATCTGGAAGCATGTTCTCTTAGAGCATCACCAACATGTTTTGCAACACCTGTTTGTGCGCAAAAAGATTTTAATGTATTGAATACCACATATTATTAACAAATACAATCTTTTTATTAGTTAACTGGGCCTTTAAGGATCTGGGAACCCACATCAAATAAAAAGCACCATACTACACCTACTAGAAGGAAACAAAGCACTATCTATCAGTAATTCAACAAAATAAATATTAGCCTAGTAAGAACTAAAGAGTTTCCAGTATTGTACTTGTTTTAATTGCACTTTTTCCTCTAATAATTTTCCTTTATTTCAAAAATAAAAACAAAAAAAACCCAAAACAGTCCCCCAAAAACCAAACCAAACAAAAAAGCTCCCAAAAACCACAACACCCACCTTTGTGTTGTTTCTTTTTGCAAGACAAAACAAGCAGCCCACTTCCAACAACACACATCCAAAACGTATCATTTTGATTTCACTTGACCAAACTCACTCAAATTTACTTTGCTTTAAGATGAAGCTAGGCAGCAATTAAATCTTTTGGCTCTTAAAACCATAAATCAGTTAGCTGTGCACATTCATTGGTACTTCTTTACCTGTGTTCACTCCTCCAGTTACGATCCAGGCTCCCGTTGTTACTGCAGCTTTAATAAGACCTTTGCCAAGCAACTGTTTGATGCGTGGGTGAAGTTCAAATTTCTGCATGCCCCCATGTACAGATATAACAAGCTTCGGCAGCTCCATCTGCCATTCTTTAAGCATAAGTTGCAGAATAGCTTCAGGCTTAGTGTCATATGACAGTCGCACATACTGCAGGCACAAGAAGAAAGTCAAAAGGTTCTTAAAAGAAATGATCACAGAATCAATGAGTA